CAACACCTCCCGGCACTCAACAACGATCGCCGTATAGTACACCACGGCCAGGATGTCTGCGAGATTGCGAGGTGACCTTATCAACCAGTATTCGACAATACAAAAAAGCGAAAAACGAATTGCATGCGATAAGTGCTGCGAACTGCACAGTGAAAACAAATACTGTGAAGAAGGATCAGTATCAAAGTTCCAGTGCCATAGCGGCAGAGCAACCAATATAAAGTGGTGAATATTCATAATAAAAATGACTACGCGTCAAACTTTTGAGCTTCATCATGAGATAAGAATACAACTTTGGTATACTTCATGTCGACTGAGGCTGCTAAAATTTCGTTAGTTTTGTCATAATTGCTACGCTATTGGTGGTGTAGAACAGGCGGGCTCCATTGATACAATTTCGCTCCATTTTCAAAAGCAATGTTCAGAATCTGTCTTATCATATTGCCCTGAGTGGTCGATCAACTAAGAATTTCTGAAACTCTAACGAAGTCAGGATGTAGATCTTGTCTGAATAAAGCGCTTTAGATAATGTGGGCATGTCCACATGGTTAGTTATAAAAATTATAAGTGTGTATTTCAGAATTTATTGACGATTTCTTGCAAAATTCAATTGAACATGAGTTGACAATAGAAGGAGTCTGATGGTGATGAACAATAATCATAATCGAAGTTCGAATTCAATGGCGCTTCTGGTCGTGGATATCGTTTTCTTCTGATCGCGGTGTAGAGCAACTCGCTGAAGTGTTTATACTAAATTAACTCTGCTGATAGAACAAAACTGATCCGTGCCATCGATTGTTTTCAAAACATTGCAAAAAATATTCAATCTAATTTTTAAAAATGTTTAAAGCCTTACCCGAGGTTGGTACACCACGGTCATACACCGGTGTTTTGAAGGTCCCGCCCTCCTCGTCAGTGACCCACTCCTCCCTCGTTGCTACAATGCAGGGTTAATGTGGGACGTGGGTCACTGACGAGGTGGGCGAGGCCTCCGAAATACCGGTGTTTGACCCTGGCGTACCAACCTCGGGTGAGGCTTAAACATTCTTAAAATTTAGATTAAATTAACTCTTGTCTTGGTTTTCAAATTGTATTCAAATCCTTAGAATAAAACTAAGATTGCGGATACTAATTATTTTTTAGGAAAACGAATAAGAAAAATGTAGAAACAGTTTTGCTTTAGGTTCAGTAACTCTCCCTTTGTTTCTTATTCAAATGCAATTTTGTAGTTGTAGAAAGATATGATAGAACTGATATATAACGTAATGATATACATAAATGATTCATATTAGAAATTGTGAGATTCGCAGCAGGTTTTTTTTTACTACATCGCTGTCTTGAGATCTGAAAATTTTTTCCTGGAGTTCCGAAGAACGAGCGAAGGAACATTTCGGAATGCTTTTCATAAGTACTTCCATTTCCCATCATAAATTCATAAGCTACTCGAAAAAACTTTTTCTAACCTCTATTACTTTTGAATCCCTATTGTTTTGTCATAGTTTGATGATCAACTTGATCCACGATGAAAGCAAACCGTTGACGAAAGTGGATGTACCATCTGTCAAGGCGAAATCTGTTTGCGATGGTTGCCCTGACAGAAACGAGCGCTGTGTCCTTGCATAGCCTCTATATCCCTTTGTGGACGGTGCCATTTGCGCCTGGCGTTCGACTCGGACGGCTACGAAACCAGGCTGTCGGAGCTTGATCCAAGATAGAACGTGATAGAACATAATAGAACGGACTACAGTAGGCTATCTTTCAATGGGAATAACGTACTTGTACCATTTATAGGCCATACTTTCAAGCGGGAAACCAACTAATAAGAAAAAGGTTATATTGAGAGCCTTTACTGAACATTCCTTTGGTATCTTATTGTATAAGCCTACAATTCAATCATATCATACTGGTTGAAATTGTGAAACAATGAATGGATCGTCACAAGTAGTCTTGCTTATTGCGTGAGATCGCGCTTCATCGATAAATTTCAACATTTTCTCAATTGATAGTGCACTCCAAATTCCCCTTTCTCAGATCAGTGCACAATTTCGTACGAATTCTTTACTCATAGCTATGGTGTACGAAGAAGAGATAGACTTATAGCGTTTTCTTTCCGTTATCTACGCCTTGTCTGAGTTCTTTGGTAAAGAGGTACTTTTTCATTCTACAAGACTTTGGCAATATTTGGTAACCAAAATCGAGTGGATTCGAACGACGTATTTTCTTTTCAAAAAGCCTGCTTTTTTTCGCTAAAAACAGTCGAAATAAGATTTTCATCTATATTAAAGCATTTCTCTTTGGATACAGTCTTTTAGTCCTAAAGAATTTGTAACGATTAGATAGGGCAAATCTGAGAAATTTCAACAGCGTACTTGGTCTCTAGAAAGGACTCCTTGTAGCGCTGTAACAGCTAAAAGACTGTTAGATTTCAAAAACTTGGACCACCTTCAATACACGCATCTTGATTTCACCTCTTGGAAGAAATTTCTTTCCTGATTCTTTTAACAGTTGCAGAAATTTCATTATAGCCGAGATCTCGTCAAATTTGAAGGTATACTTCATTGTCAGATTGGCTCACTTAATGCGCTCTAACAATAAAATCAAATTATTTTGCGCACTCAAGCATTTTTCGCCGAACGAAGCTTTTCTGCTAGACTTTTGAAATTTGTTCGATAGCTCGGATCTCGACTACTTCCCCAGTAACATTCTATTTGAAAGCAGCCCCTTGCTGTACTGTTAGAAGTCAAAAGAAAATTAGATTTAGCAGTTAATCGGTATGTCGCAAAGAGAGCGACAACTTCGGACGAACGTCGTGAAGTCCTACCCCTTGGAGTGCAAGACCCAATATTCCTTTGACAATTACAGCGCTCCAGAGAGTCTTCACCAAAAATCAATTAGCTCTTCGAATTAGTTGAGAATTGCGCTATCGAAGGGTTATTGATTGTTATAGAAAAAACCTTATGCATCGAGAAATCTTCGAACGTGAAGCAAAATTTCATTCCGACTGTTACAGCGCAAGAAGCAGACCATTTGAGAAGTGAAATATGTCGTTCGAATTCATCTAATCTCAACTATTGAATGAATACCAATAGTCATGGGAATATGTCTTTTCTAGAAAAAACCGAGTCACGAGCCATCCTTGAAATGCGGTTGCATGCTACAGAAATTGTTTCCAAGAGTGATAATTTTCAAGATAGTTGAGCATTATTATTACTGAAAAAACGTTCTCAAAGGTTCTTATAATGAGAATTTGAGCTCTTTCTAGCAAAGGAGCTTACAAGTATTGGAATCTAACTATATAATCCCAAGAAATCCGCTATGAATTAGATAAACTGAATTGCGATTGCAGAACGTAATCTTTATTTACTATTAGAACGTTCTGTGGAATTATTTTCAATCAACAAGCTTAGCATCAGATTCGGAATTTTCTTAAACTATCAACTGACTACGAATACATAAAGAAGAAAGGAGAGATTATTGAAACCGTTAGAAACATGATTCTTTTCTCAAATATATGTTTTTTTTTTCTTTGAAAAGCAAAGGTTTGGGTAACATTAGCATTAATTCTGCTGAATTTATTTATACAAGAGTTTCATCAGCAATATTTTATTATTTTGCCCCTCTGATAACTTAGCTAACCCGAATTCATAAATGAGCACGTACCATCATTCGTAGCCGTACGAACGGCGCGCTCAGCTGAGGGTCATAATGACCCTCATTGTCAGCAAAGGATTAGATACAGTGGTTGAAAATGTTAAGAGCTGGTCACACAGTAATTTGCCTATGTTAAAACAGTTGTAGTGGCGTGTTACAATGCGGACAATTATAACACTTAATTCGGCCGATGCTTTATATTCTTTACGGTGGGACTCTTTCCTTGCCTTTCTCTCAGCCATACTTTGAGATTATCAGCGCTACCAGCAACTACCCTGTATCAGAAGGAGAAGACAAATCAGCAGCAAACACAAAAGAAGAACGGCTTCCAAAGAATTGCCAAATGATTCGCTTGATTACTGATGCTCGTTTGCCGGAGGTGCCTTTCACGGATGAGCGGAATCTCATAGTCAAGCCACCCCATAATAGCCGGAATCGGCGTCAACTTCTTAAGAAGGGTCAGCAAAAGCCCGCAGTAGCAAAAACCATAGGTCGCAGTCTTTGTACGTCTTCTGTGATGGTCCGGGTTGGCATTTGCGCCACCGGAGAGACGCCGTTGGCCTTCATCGACGGAAACGTCAAAATCACTGTTGCCAGCTATCAGCAGCAAGTTTCATAGAGCGCACTGAGCTTTGAAGTACTTAACACTTTGGTGTTGACGGATTTACGTTTCAACAGGACTGGACATTGGTGCATTCAGCCCTTTCAACGATTGCTGTTTGTCAAGAGCTGTTTCCAGGCCTTTAGAGCAAGGGCTGGCCGTCGAACTCGCCGGGTCTTAACCCAAAGGACTACTCCACATGCTCCATACTGGAGAAAAAATGTCTCGGTTACTCAATACACTGGCGTAGCAGCGCTTAAATGGCTTTGACACGCGCTGGGAACGATATTACGGTGGAATCGTGTGCGAGCATAGTTCGAAATTTTTGAAAAGCCATTTCGTGAAAGTATAAAGGCCAAACGGGGCGACTTTGGGAATTTATTATGAACTTTTTGCTTACCGTTATAGTTGTTGACCTAAAAAGCGTAATCATTCTCTTATATTCTTTGAACTCATTTCTTTATAGAATATTTTTTCACGGCAGAAATACCTGAAAATGGCAGGATTTACTTTATTTTATATATATATATATATATATATATATACATGTGCATGTATAAGTGCATATACACTTGCATATGTATGTTTCTGTATATGTATATATATATATATATATATATATATATATATATATACTCATATATAGAATGTAAACGTGTACATATGTGTGAATACATGCATATATACATATATATATATATATTTATACACATGTGTCAAGGCATGTAAAGTGGTGTGCAAGAACTTCTGCGTTAGATGGGATTTGAACCCCTATTTCACCCTATCAGGGGGGCTCATGCTGAACCGTTGCACTACCAACGCTCGTTTTGACACCACTCTTTCTACGCTACAAAGCATTATCTGTCAACAGCCAGTAGTCAGCAGTGTGACGCGGGTAGGTGCTATCGACATTGAACCCACTTATGCTGACAGATATGTACATATTGTCTATTGGTGATCAATCAAATTCACTTAATTCAAACGCCTTTTGCGCGATATGATGTTACAATATACCCATATTTTATTCTAATTTTACATATTTTTTGCACACCACTCTACATAGCACTTCAAGAGGCGCTCAGATAAATAAATTTTGATTGATTATAAATGCATGAATGGATAATTTATGAGTACATAATAAAATAAATGGGTATATATAAATATAATCATACTCAAATATATATAAATATGTTTATATATGCGTATATATATATAAATAAGCAAATATATATATATATATATATATATATATGCATACGCATATATGGTTCTATTTCATTATCCGGAAACAAATGAAGAAACAATCCCTTCTATGTAAGGATACTTTCATGAGGGTGTAGTAATCAATCGGAAGTTTAAATCTGTGGCTATTGCGCTTCGTACTCCTTTTTTGAAAAAAACCCTCCTATAATGCCGAAACATTCGGAATTTAATTATGTTTCACAACCCTTGCTTGCTTTCACTATCACTTCGGTAGAAACATGAAAAGCGATTCATTCTGATTATAAGGTGACAAATGTAAAACCGACCTCATTCGCTGGAAGCGGACTTTTTTTAGGAGTGTTAGCAAACATTCGAGAGTTGAGACTTGAAGCTCAGCCCCACGCTGCCGTTTTCCAAAACACTCATTTATAACGCTATGAACTCCACACAAAGCTATTGCTCAGAGTCACAACCGCGCATATCTCTCGGCGGACACAGCTTTTTTATTGGGCTATTAGTAGTCATCCGGTAGCGAAATTATTTTTGATTCCAACGCTATGCATATATTCTGGAATGACCGTTTCTCTCAAACGCGGCAGGCCAAATAAGTCGAATTCCCATCTGCCATCAAAGGTCACTTTCGCCAATTTACGTCTGTGCGCGTGAGGCGCCCACGTGAGTTGCTGATGCGATACTTCTCTACACGTTCATATGCCCGAAATATCGATTGTCATCGCATCATCGAATGTGGCTGCCTCACGCACACCCAGGTGAAGTGGCCGAAGTGGCCCTTGCTCGCACATGGTAATTCAACTTATTTTACCTGATACGTTTCAGAGAAACGGTCTTCTGAGGATATAAGCACAGCGTTAGAATCAACTAAAAACATAAGGAAAACGAAAAAGAAGAACGTGTACAGGAAATATTGTTGTATCAAACTCATAAGCTTCATGTGGATTTTCTTCCGGAGCGCAGAAAAAAAAATCCTAGTCAAATAACAAAAATTGCACACTACACGTGTACGCGTCAGCGCAATCTATTGGTCGCCACATCGAAACTAGTGGAAACCCGCTCTGCCCCTTCCCCCACCCACACATTAGCCGAAAACAGGTGCCTGCATATGTGGACTGAACATTAATTTCCCAGGCTACGCCGCAGCGAAGCGGTCTTTCCAGAAAATCAACAGAACGTTGGAATTCCCGAAACTTATGCTATAGAAAGGTTACTCATAATTCCAGGAAACAGTTCTGCCTTATTGAGCGCGTGTGGAACACAAATGTTTATTTCTGTGACAGCGTTAAAAAAGGGTTTTTCAAAAAACGGCCAGGTATCACACTAGCCAGAGGTTCAAGCCTTCAAATGAGTACTAAAACTGCAATAGAAAGTTTTTGACAGAGAAGGGAGCAGCTTCTTCATTTGTTCTTGAACGGCGGAAAAGAACCATATATACGCATATATGTACATACTGTATATATAAAAATGTGTATACGCATATGCATAATGTACACGTGTGAATATATATATATATATATATATATATATACATATTATATAATTGCATATGCTTATAAAAGCAAAAACCCACCTTCTGAGCATTTCCTTCCTTAGAGTAACTATATTCGGTTATTGGGTTCTTGTGAAACTTCCTAAGAAATAAATTTTTTGTGACTGTCCTGAGAAATTAGATTTTTATTATAGTGTTTATACCACTTTTCTGCAGATTGCTGTCTTATCAAGCGGGATAATTCTTGCTTTCTGTATTGCTCAATCTCATCTTTAGCACTGGTATGCACTTGCGAAGACATGGTCTTCTTACTTCCGAGTTCATATCTATATTGCGTAAAAGGGAGGTTTTGTGCATTAGTCGTACTCTCCACATAAGAACCTGAACATTGCACATTCAGTACTCCTTTTCCCTTTATATTCCAAATCCTTCAAATTGTCTCTCAGTCCTCTACCTTCAATCTTGAATTATTACCGTAAAAAAAAGTGCTTTTCCATCATCAATCTATGCCGCCATATATAGCAATTTTTCAAGCTGTTCATCTGACTCGATCGGCATAAACTAATAAAAAAAGTCAGAAATCTGAAACAATTTGCTAAGCATTTACTATTTTTTTACAGAAGCATTCGAACTGCCTATTTTTTGCTTTGCTGTCAATTCTAGCAGTGTTTTATCAGGATGGCTGGAATGCAGGAAAAAAATTGTGACATCAAAAGAGAAACAAAGATAGATATTCATGCGAAATTCATTGTAGCTAATCTATAATCTCCCTAGTGATTAAGTACTTTTATTAGGCTCACAGAGATCCAATCGAAACTACTTCATTGAGGAAAAGAAGTGCGGTAAAATGTGACTAGCATGAGAGCTATTTCGAGGGTCACTAGGTTGGTTTCAGCATAAAGATTGTTAGGCCCCTTTAGTACCAATTCTTAACTACCCTTTTAATACCCTTTTAGTACCAATTCTCAATTAAAGTATTAGAGATTCAAACTAAGTTTAAGCCATACCGTCTCGTGAAGGGCATTGACAGTAACCTCCGTCGTCTCCTGGAGAACCTCTCCTTCCAGTGTTTCCACGATGTCCATAATCACCACAATCCCCAGGTTCTCCCGGTGGTCCTGGTGGCCCTTCCAAACCTGTGAAAATTTGATGCAAGAAATGTTTAGAGAACTCTCGGTGCTTAGTTCACTGGTTATTCAAGATTGGTTGAATTGATATAGTTGAAGTCGAAACACATAGCTCCTAGTTTTATGGTTGCGTCAGTGTTTGGTTTTTCCTCAAACTGAAAAATCAACTATAATTTTCAATAATACTGTCAACAAGTCAACCAAATGATTTGACATGTTCATAACTTTCATTGGTCAACAGTAAGGCCGTGTGCTTCTGCATATCAACGAGCCATCCGTAGCACAGCACATGCTTCAACAATATTACGTACGAATTGTAGCTAAGCTTCAATTAATGTACTTTGCCAACTCGTCAGCTGTCACTTGTACACGAATCGAGAAATTCCTGTTCTGCGGAACAATGCTCTAGCGTAATATATTTTTTAAAATTTCGTGGGTTTCGGAACTACAGAATTCCCTTTAGAAGGACAAATAAACGTCTTAAATGCAGGCAGTTGTTCACTCTGTTGGTTTACATTTTGGTCAGCACGGATTTCTTTACACTTACGTGCACCACATTGAACCTGCTTTCCAAAATGTTCATTAATTTTTGACATCTCTTTTGAAGCACTAATTGGAAGCACATTCTGTAGTCACTTACAAACATCGCAGAGTACTATAATGGACAGATTTCTGAACTAATTCGTCGATAAACCATGCACAAATCAGTGACCATGTAGAACAATCTTGATTGCATCACCCATTTTACTCGGTATACATTCTCCCTTTACTAATGTAATACAAAGAGAGTGACGTCCGCATGTGTGAAACAAAGTGAATTAACTGGGCGGAAAATTATCATATGAGTTAAAGCAAGACTATCAATCATGAAAGCTTTTCAACTTACTCTTTGACGAAGCTTTGAAAAGAATTTTGCATACACACTAACAGCCATTATTGTGATAGCCGACAGTGCTTTGCTGAACTTTTGAGAATCTCAGGTGGCCGATAAGTTGAGTAAAACAGCGAACATTTCTGCATAGGACTCTCACCCACTAGGTGCGATAAGGTGGATGACAGGGTTTACAACTGACCACAACTTTAACACAGTATAGAATATCCCTCTAACATTGTTTTTTCTAACTGTTGGGTGCATCAAACAACAGACGTCACAATTTCAAAACTAGCACGATTCCAGAGAATAGGGATCGAGAGCTGGAAGCACCCATTCGCCGTTGAATCAAGTCCTCAAGTTTTACAAAAATTCTAGCATTCATATTCTACGCGACAACAGAATATCAATGAAGCCATTATGGTTTATGAGACGGATTTGGAGGCAAGACCCAGCTTTAAAATTGAAGCTTTCAAGCTTTCCATATTCTTGATTCCTCGACATCTTCCTTATTACATTGTGCCTTCTGGTCACTTCTCTCTGAACAGCATAAATCTGTGTTCTAAAAAGCGATAGATTTTCTTAAAATCACCTGGAGGAGCTGGAACTCCGTTCACACCTGGGTCACCACGAGGACCAGGAATACCGGGCACACCGCGCGGTCCTCTGAGACCTGGTAAGCTAATCAGTTAAACCGCGTCCTCTCCTGGTTCTCCAGGCACACCCTTTTTTCCAGGTCTTCCACTTTGACCTCTGTTACCAGGCGCTCCAACGGCTCCGGGTTCGCTAACACCGTCTTGCTCATACAGTCCAGGTTTTCCAGGTTTGCCTTGTTCTCCTGCAAAAGAAAAATCGAGAATATAAACAGCAGCGATTTAAAGAGGATTCTTTTTTTTTGAACGCAGCGTGAATAGTTCGTGGTCACATGCTTGTGCGAACAAACATACATGATTATAAAAGCGTGTTCCAAGCGCATGCGTGTGTAGTGGTTAGAGTTGTGCTAAAATACACATGGTGTTATTAGCTCGACCTGGCACCCTAAGCTTTTCTTCTTTCCTTCCACGGGCTGAGCAGATTAGTATCACAGTGGTTAAAGTCACCACAAGCCATTACACAG